AGATGACTACCTGTGGGGAAATGAAGTTGCTTGCATGCAAATGCTGCTCTACAGACCTCTCTGCTCTGTGCAACCAAAGGCCACCCGCAGTGACAGGCCACCGGGGTTCATCAACCTTTGGAGATGCTTCAACTGTAGCTTCTATTCTCCCTGCATGCCAGCAGCAGCCTCGGAAAGAGCAAATGTAAAGCTAAGGTCACCGTCTTCTTGTTTATACAAGGAATAACAACTCTGTTACCAAAAGCGAGTCAGATGGTTTCCAGCATGTTCCATAGTTCAAATCCCAAGACAGAAACAGAAGTTGAGGATAAAGCTGGTTCTGCAAGATGAAATTTGGGTGGAAAATCTCCCTTTATTTGCAATATTGCACCCAAATTGTTAGTGATTCGGAGAGTTTAAAAATTAATTATTCCCTAGAGTGTTAATGAGTATAAAAATAAATTGAATATATAAATACTGAGTATATATGTGCATAATATACACCTCTGCACATTAGGAATAACACTGGAAACATGTGGTAACTAAGATGAAATGGGAAACGTACCGAAAGTTCTCCCCAGATAAAGTAAGGTGAGTTACAATAGGCCGATTTGAACTGGAAAACCCATCGTCTGCTGACGGCAGATGTCGGGAACGGGCACAGTGGAAATGGTGCTGAGCAAGCCACACGCGCTGTCTGCAAAACGTCCTGCTGCTGCTGCTGCAGCCCGGGCTGCGGGGAAGAGCATCACTGCCCCGTTGTGCCTCGGAACCCAGCTGCAGACTCCAGGTGGGGTCACACAGCCAGACCCAACGTCACGTGCAACGGTCACACGTGGGTCACACGTGGGCTCTGTGCAGAGCTGTCTTGGGCTGAACCGTTCCCTGGCAAAGTCTTGCTGCGAATAGGGAATAAAATCTGGGAGGGGGAATCAGCTGCAATCTAAAGTCCATGGAAGAACTTCAGCGCACATCTGCCACGCTTAGGAAGCCCTCAAGGGAGCAGAACTGAACTGCAGCCACCTAAAACCCTGGAGGTTTTTCCCCATTTCTTCCCCGAGCTATTGGAAATGAGAGCTGCTTGCTCCATCTATGGGTAAAACCTAGTACGGTCATAACGTTTTCTTATACAGTGCATATTCTAACCAAAACCAAGTTATTAGAAAGAGTAAGACAGATGACAGCCTTTCCTTTTTGCCTGATGCATCCTTATGCACAAAGCCCTTGCTATGGATTATTTTTGAAGGCCCTGCAATTAACAGTATTGAATTTCAGAAGGGGGAAAATTATTTCCTAAGGGAAAGCAGAAAATTAAAATTTCACGTTGAAATATTTCCTTTCTCAAGCCCCGTGCAAGTTCACCATTACTCAAATAGGACTGCTTGTGTTAAGGTGTGTGAAAGATGGTGGGGAAATTTAGTTTTAAAGTTCTGCAGGCTACCTCCAAGTCTGAGCTAATTGGTGCTTTGATCCCATCCTCAATATCCCAATTCAAAGCTTTAGGTCAATGGAAAGCTTTTAATAGATTTCCCTCGCCGTTAGAAGAGACAGCATCAGCAATGGGTCAAGATTGATGCTGTAAATCTAATTGGAAAGCATGATTAGAAAGTTCCCTGCTGTCCTTCAAAAAAGGCATTCAGTAACCTCCAAGTACGAAGCTATGTTTTTATGACTTAAATTTCATATAACCATATGCTTTTAATAAAATATTAATAGTACTTGATTTTGGTGTATCCACGGGGATAGCTCCCTAATTTCCACTCAGTAAAATAATGTTCCTCTCAGTTCCACGTATACGTGAGAGGTCCCAAAAGTGAGATTTGAAGCAAGATTATGGACAAAAAGTGTTCTGAATTCACCAGATCTTTTTCCTGCATTTACTTCGGATCACCCTAGTTTGCTTTACCAACATGTATCCCTTTTCCCGCTGTGCACTCCGCGTTGTGCAGTTAAACCTGAGGAAAGCAGCAGTGCTCGGACCCCGCTCTGCTGGCCCTGAGAGCTGGCAATGCGGTGGCAACCTGAACAAACCAGAGACAGTCTGGAAAGCAGCTCCCCGGTGCCAATTTTAAACTGGCTTTTCACAGCCCCTCAGGCTTTAACTTACACCTATCACCCCTTCCTTTGTTATTGCAACTCCTGAGATACAATCTTAAGTAAGTTAAAATCTGCTCTTTAATAGCACCCTGCCAGCTTCGTGTCACAAGTACTATTCTAAAATTAGAAAACACTGATTTACTCATTTTTTCTTTCCCCATCTTCTACCAATAATCAAAATGCAGTTGCTCAGTGCTGCTTGGCTTTGTGCTTGCCCACCCTTTCGCATGTGCCCAGCTCCACATCTCAAAGAACCAGATCTCTGCGCGGCTTTGGCAGACGCAAGGCGCTGGTGGGCAGCGCTGACTAGGCCTGCGCTTCACATTTGGAGAGTTTCATTTGGCTGTTGGAAGGAAACATATTTGGAGAGGGTTTGATAATCGGGAGCAGCGTGAGCAAATCATCCGTACAACCATAACTAAGCGTAGTTCATCCCAAATCCATGCTGATTTTTAAACTATTAGCGCTATTTTAACTCAGGAAAGTTGGGGACAAAAAAAAAATCGGAAGGCTGGGAATTCAATTTACTAAAACTGTTCTGCAGGAATCTGCTCCAAGGCTCAGAAGGGCTCAGGTGGCAGCTGCACCCACCTCATCCCAAAGGGATCCTGCAGAAGACACAGCCTTGGTGCCTTTCCAGAGCTACAATACTCCACATGGAGACCTAGCAATGACTTTACCAATCCAAAGCTGTACAAGGAACAACCCTGACATGGCTAGGTGTTGTGGAAATGCTGTAGGAAGATATTTTTCTTTTCAAGGCAGATCTTTTCTCTGATTAGAGGCAGGAGGTAATGACTCGATGCTGCATTGGGCAAGAAGGAAACAGAGGGCAGAGGAGCCTTTGGCAATGGCCAAAACAAGCCTGGCAATGGTAAAGATGAGCAAGTGCTATCCATTTCCAGCCTTAGTGTGGAAAATGCTTTAAATCCTGTTTCCACAGATCAATTCCTAGTTTAATGTTGTCATACCCTAACTATTATTGCCCTTCCTGAACTGCATGTAGTCAAGAGACAAAATAACTCAGCCAGGAAATGCGAAGCTGCCTGGGAAAGTGAGCACTTCAAGTACCACATGCACCCCTTAAAATGAACGCAAGCTAGGAAGAAGTTACTTCCAAGAAAAACAAGGAATACTTGGAGTAACAGGTTAGTCTGAGTTTTGAACAGTGTGTAGGAGGAGGAAGCAGAGGAAAATCTGGATATGCTCTTTAAAAAGGAAACAGCATATATTTCCCCTACATACTGCTTCAAAACGAGAGGTAAACAATTGTAGCATGGATTCATGTCAGTTAAAGCAAAAGGAAGATGGGGAATTTTTACCTGCTTCTTTTTCCAACTGCAGATTGTTTGATGAAGTTAAAATGTATATAGCAAAAGGGAGAAGTCCAGTGCAACATTTCAGAGAACCAGAGACTAACTGAGGCTAGTCACAGAGTAACATTTCTGTATGCATGCTGTATGGTCTGTTCTGTAATACAATAGAAATTTTTACTGTTATCAAGTTTCTGAAGCCATGAAGTCCTGAAGAGGCAATGTCAAATAGAATAAAATTCAATTCAATTCAATATACTAAACCTTAAGAGTGTAATTCATGAGTCCTTGTTTAGCGTATTCAGAATAAACCCATTGCATAGGTCTCCAAGAGAGCTAAATGTCAGAAAAGCACTGGATAAGGAGACCTCTGCTTTGTAGCAGACTGCAGAACGGAAAGTCATCAATCTGTGAGCTTTCCTCAGCATGTCCCTTCCAAGAGACATTAAAAACACTGCATTAAAACCTGCATTAAAAACAAAACAAACCCAAACACCTAAACCCAGCATAATTCCTGCAACTATCTCTTGAGTAGCAGGGTCATGGATATCTTCTGTTAGCTCAAAAATAGCATGGCCTTGTTCCAAATGTGTTCCTGCTACAGTGATGTGACCTTACCAAAGGATTTTGCTGACTCGTGGAAGATTCCTTTATTTAATATTCTGATGTGCAGGTCACGGAGCTGAGATCTGACTTAAGTCCTGCACCACAGCACTATTTACTTGGATAACTTAGTCACAATGTCACAAGATGGCTTAGCCATGCAAGGTATATTGCTGTTATTCATAGCAAGTTCTTCTTTGCGTCCTGAATCAGCAGCATTTCTGCCTTTCCAACATTTAAGTCTTCCTGGCCTATCCAAAAGAGTTTAAATTGATTTTAATTGCTGTGAGGCTTGAAAAAGAAAGGAGCATAATAAAAACGAGGAGAAGAACAAGTGTCCTTGCACAGGAATGATGCTTGCTGTCCCTCCAAGTCTCCTTTCAGAAACTGCCCCTCCTCCTACCTTCAGTTTCCTGAAGGTGTTTCAGAGCGATGCAAGGATTGGTAAAGCTGCCATTTCAATTAAATTGTGACAGGACTCCTGATAAATATAAATAAAGACTCTTTGCTTAAGTTTTTTTTTTGCTTAAGTGGTTTTGATTCTGTATATATGCACATAAAAGGCACCCTGAAACTGTTCATTTTGATCAAAACCAACATTATAAAGGGACAACTTAATGAAGAAAACCAAGAATATTCCTCTTTGTACGATGTATAAATCACAGAAAACTATCAGTACTTTGCAGTAAAATGCTAGACAAATTAGCCAATGCTTTATTTAGCCAGCACTTAGATATAGGCATCATTAATGCTGTACCTATATTGTCTTTATTGATCTGTAACTCACTGCCCTTCAAATGTTCCCTGTCCCCTAAGCAGAGTTGAGACACCTGCCTGCAGACCCACAGTGTGAACATTTATTCCATGAGGACATTTAAAAATCACAGCAGTTTCTTGGCCTTGCTCATTTGGGTGGTAAATGCCACCCAGCAGAAGTCATGGCCTAGGTGACAGTGAGAAACTGAAAGCGCATGGAAAGCGATAACGAACAATTAGCACATGCCTCATCTGCACTTACTTCACTACCGCAGGTAAAGTATGGGGGTACTGTGTATCTTCCTGAAATAACATGAGCAATTTCTTACTTTTTCTTGATCTGCAGAAAAACTTGATGCCCCCGGGAGAGGTAGACGGGTTAGAATTGGGGGAGGACTCTTTGGAGGAGGACCTGAAGATCCCACTGAAGCTCATGCGGCGTGGGGAGCGTGGGGGAGACTCCTGGTATGGGAAGGGGAACACTGTTTTGGGTGAGCCAGGGCTGTGCTTAGACCTCATGGGGGCAGAAACAGGGCTGGAAGGCCGGTTCTGGAGCCCTTTTGAGAAAAGGCCTTTCGAAGGGCTGCCTGCAGAGTAGCTTTCTTCCCCCTAGGAGGAGAGAAAAAGCGAGAAAAAGAAAAGAAAAAAATAAAAAACACCATTAATTCAATTCAACTTGTGCCATTAGGTTTGCAGAACTTGCCTCAGCACAGTGGACGCTTGTTTTTCTGATTGCCAAATCTCACCTTCCCCAATACCCGCCTGCACCTAGATGCCCACTGCTGTTAGAGATGCCCTGGATTTTACATAAAGTTTCAACCCATCTCCATACATTTTGTGTTAATCCGGATTTCCTTGCTGATTTGCTATGCATCTCTCTTCCTCTCCCTTCCCTGGAAAAGGGAGAGGGGATGGGCAACCCACTTAGGGCAATGAATTCTTCTCCTTAAATGCAACGCCCTGACCTCTTCCTAGTGAATTTAAGCACCCATCTATGGGGCTTAACCCTTCCTTGCCCACAGATGGGACAAGACCCTAAACCAAGGGGGACTTACCAGGTCTCTACAACACTGGGCAGAGCCAAACAGGGATTTTTGCTCTGGCTTCCCAGCTGGCTGGTGTCCCCGTGCAAAGCAAACAGGAGGCACGGAGCAGAGAACTGCAGGCATCTGAGAAAGCACCAGCTCCACGTGCTGTGTGTTATTGCAGGTAGATGAGAGCGTTGTTGCCATGGGAGTCGAAGGACACGTGCACAACAAGGTTTGTAGGCAGAAATAATGACTATTATTCTCTGTCGCCCCGCATGGAGCTGCCTTGCAAAAAGCAGAACTGCTTTTTATAGCCACACATGTATTTCTGACTGGGTGAAAAAAACAATCTCAGCAATATCTGTTCTTCTGCACTGGCAGGAGGGAACTCGTCACCCTCAAGGGGACATATTCAGGAGGGATCACCAATTCTAACAGAATTTCAGTTTCATTATAATTTTTCCTAAAGTGACTAGCCATGAAATCTGTAAAGCTAGGAGAACAGAGTTACTTTGGTGTCATCCTAAATATTTCATGCACATTTTTGCATATGCTTATTTAGGTACAGCAAAATACTCATGAGAGACACTTAAAAAAAAACCTACAGAAATGCATTAAAGCAATTCCATAAATGTAAAATGTCAAAGAATATTTGTCAAATAATTGCAGCATCCCCTGTATGTACAAGCCAGGCATAAAAGTAAACTGTGTTCAAAGTCTGCACAGAAGCAGCAGGATGTTTTTATTTATTGCCATCACAACTAGTTACTTCCTTCTCCTCATGCCAGGCAGAAGAATTAGCTGCTGGTCTGAGCACTCACTGCTAAATACCTGTGTGCCTGCTATGGAATTAAATGAAATTACTACTGAAAACTCTTCCCTGGCTATTCGCAATATTAATTATATGCAAGCCATAGCATCAAAGATGACAAATACCCAAGATTCTACTTGGGTACTGCAGCAGTATTTCCTTCGTACAGTATTATTTGAGGCTGCAAGTTTTAAAAGACTATTAGACTCCTCTCTAAGCGAAAGCAACAGCAACAGTTAAGTGATCACAGCATATATAAAAGGCAATAGGAAGGCAATATGAATATAAATGCATATATAAATATGAATATGAATGTAAAAAGTGATATGAATTTTCATGCCTCAGCAGGGAATGCAGAAGAGTCTCTGCTGCGTTATGAACTGCACAACATCATGCAGACATGATAAAATTACTCCAGAAGCGGTGCTGGAAGAAGGTTATAAAGCTGGATGGATCATCAGCTGCTCTGCGTGCTTTTTGGCTTTACTTCCTTAATTTATTACTGGCAGGTGGGCACGAAATTCCCATATGCTCTCTTGAAACACAACTATTTTCCCAGCTGTAGAGGCCAAAGTATCACAATCTGGTTTCCCACACTGATGACCCCCTCACATCTTCTTGAGCTGGCGTAGGCAAACCAGCACAGCGAGAATGAGCAGACAAAGGAAACATCTAATAAATTCTGAGTGGATAATTAGGCTTTCGGAGATAAGGAATTCAAACAAACAATAAAAGTACAAAGACATCAATACAAATGAAGTCTAACCAAACAAACTGAATAATTACTGAAAAAATTTCACCTTATAAATTAAAACCTCACATACACTCACACCTAGAAAACATGCCTAGTGCTGGCTGTATAGACATTTGAGCTCTAAGCATGGGATGCCTCAACCTTATACCCACTTATCCTGGAAAGGTGGAAAACTCAGCCCTAAACATACATATATAGACAATACTGCCTGAAATAGCCCTAAATTAGCATATAGGTAAGGGAAGAGTATGAGGATGCAAGTGCAATCCTATGCTCAATCTAATGCAATTTCCTTCCCTGTAAGGTTAAGTGAGATGAGGTCTCTGGAAAGTTTCAACACAGGAAACAGCATCCTCAAAGTTGTCTTCTCCCATTTCACCTGGATGCAGGAACAAGATAGCACAAGCCAGCGACAGCACCAATTGCATGTGGCACCTTACTCCAGTGGGTGCAAGAGTTCAGCAGTATGACAGGAGCCAAAGCCCTTTGCTCCAGGGCCAAAAGAATGGTTCCTAACCTATTTTATTTACTACTATAGACATATTATGAGCGAATAAATGCTAAGCATCTTAGGCTATTAAGCCTCAACAATTCTCAAGGTCATCAAGAGCTTCCTGTAGAAGATCCTTCCCTGTGTCGACCCTTAGAGGAGCTATAGGTACATGCTGGGAGAGGTAGAAGAAAATTTCTGTCTGCAGCATCAACAAACTTCATTAGCAGGCTTCTGGTTTTTATCTCAGCTGCAGTGTCCACAACCAGCCCTAGGATGGAACTTGGGGAAACTGCACTAGTGCTGTCCCCGTGCTGTGCTCCAGGCTGCAGATGTTCTTCTGTAGACATGCTGCCTTCCCGGGAGGGTGCCCCTGTTTCCCACTTCCTTGGAGCTAAAGCACTTCCCTGCATCTCCCCTCACAGAATCACAGTGTGGTTGAGGGTGGAAGGGACCTCTGGAGATCACCTAGTTCAAGCCCCCTGCACAAGCAGGGGCACCTCAAGCACCTGGTGCAGGAGCAGCTTCCACTCATTCCTCCCTCCCGGGATGTACCTCCAGCTCCACTCCAGGCTGGCTGGATCCTACCAGAATCACCCTCCTGGATGCCATGGAGTTCACAGTGCTCTATATTCCTGAAAAACGTCTCTCTCCAATTCAGCTTCTTGTGGATTCATATTCACCTTCATAAGGATTTGAAAAAACTGCCTTGAACAGGGAGCGGCTCTAACTCAGTAGCCTTTCAAAATGCTTCAAAATTTAAGTTGAAGTTATTAAATGCTCCTGAGCTCCCCTCCTTTACTTTTTCTCTAATTTCAAATAGTTAGGACATTTATGGAGCACTTGAGGTTTGTTTTGCTTTTATAACAGGGAGATATTTGACCTTTATTATGTCTTCTACTTAAAAAAAAGGAGAACTACAGAAAAAGAATCGCCTCCCACCACCCTTGACAGGGACGGTAAACACAATTAGAGACGATACACCAGATAGAAGTCTGCACTCACTTCCTGCCCTTCCACTGAATCTCAATAAAAAAGCTCTTTGATAAACTTAATTGGATGATTCTCTCATTCTGAGGGAATAAAGGAGCTCATAGAGTCATAGGAGCTGCCTTGATTAGGCTGAAGGATAATGAAGGACGTCCTCTCCCAGACACCCTGTGGTTACATTCGCCACCATTAGCATCCTTAGTCCCACATGAGCAATAACAACGGAGGTGTCGAAGCATCTTACAGGACCAGAGCTGTCACTTCCCCAAATTAAAATACAATGACACTCCCCAAATTAAAGCACAATGGGATGAGGATGGTCGATGCAGGAGGCTGTCAGACAGCCCCACACTGAAAGAAATGGAAAATTGAAATGCTGGGAAAAATAAGCCAAAGGGAGATTTATTCAGTTACCCAGTGACAGGGGACCTAAAAACTGTTGAAGAACTGTTGGATCTCCTCCCTTTTCCAAGGGTTGCTTGTGCAGTTTCCATTTATGAGTCACTGGGCAAAGAGGAAAAACAATGCTGGGACCAGAACCAGTCCTTCAGCATGAGAGCTGCTCCTCAGTTCTTTCTTTGATCCCAGTTCATCAACATTTTCCTTATTTATTGACAGCAGAACTGCAAGGCAGTGCCAAATGCACTAGCAACACAGCCTGCTTCTTGCCCTATTGCTTCACTTGTACATCCAAAAAACCAAACCGCTCCTTTAGCCCCAGTATCATATCCCAAAGCCATGTAGACCTGGATCTACCATTACTCTCAAAACCTAATCAAAGCCTTGAGAGACTTCCCAGAAGTAAAGTCTACATTGTTTGTTCCCAGGTGTAACTCATCTCAAGTTGGCCTAACTGAAATGGGCTCTGCTTGCTTGCAGAATTAGTTTTAAGTGATTCAGGTCATTCTGCACTGGAGAGTTTCCAGTTTGTTATTTACCACTGTTATACCATTTTTGTATAAACCATAAGAGTTCCAGTGATGTCTATATTTCTTTCAAATCACTGATAAAGCACTATGTAGTACAGCAACAGAATGTTTTGTCTGCCAAGAAACAAAATTTCCACTGATCTCCACAGTCCCGATTTACTTTATTGGCTCAGTTTTTATCCACTTTAAATAGACTGCATGTTTTTTTATTATCATTCTAGTTTCTTAAACCAAAACTCCCTGCAGTAATGATATCAATAGATTTTATATGCATGTGACACCAATCCTAGTATATTTTTTCACCCAAATTTATAATTTCATTTAAAAAAAGTGTTCAATAAGGACCATTTGTCATTAACTCCAATGAAAATGAATCTGTTGTAACAGCATCATTAATTACCCAAGATTAGACATTTCATTATTTTACCTAGGACTAATGTTAGACTCACAAATCTTTAAATTTTCCTAATTGCAAGCATTCTTAATATTAACAAAATAGTAACTTTTTTACAGTCTTTTTAAAATCATTTTATGATCTTTATACTGCTCCCAATTTTATTCATAATCCCCACCAGTCTTTCAGAGAAAGTCCTGCCAGCTATTTCAAAACCTGTTTATCTGAGTTACTTGGATCTCATTATAAAATTTCTAGCTTTAGCACCTGTTGTTCAGAAAACACTTAAATCATTGGTAGGACAGTCACCATTATCCAAGATAAACATCTCACCCATGCAAAGGAAAGAACTTTCAACGAACACTTTTTTTTCTAAATCTTATTTTCTATGAGAGTCACCATTATCATCCGAGATAAACATCTCACCCATGGAAAGGAAAGAACTTTCAATGAATACTTTTTTTTCTAAATCTTATTTTCTATTTTATGACAGTTCTATTATTTCCATAAAGCAATGGATCAATATAGCTCTTCAAATTTCTTTTCTTCTTCCTACCCTCTCCTTCCTACATATTTTGCAACTTGTCACAAAGTGGACAATCTTTTTTTCATGTCATTTTCTTCAAAATGATCTGCAATCCCTGTCTTTCAACCAAAAGCAATGACTATCAGTTTCCCACCATTTCCACATCAGATCCTGCAATGTACACTTGGAGATGGAGGATCTATAAACATTCAAGGCGTTAATACCTCTAAAACCAACAATGACATTTTTGGTGCAGGGGGCATTCATCAAGGGTAGTCCCTTCTACAGCAGACTTTCTTGACCAGTCAACAATAGCAGTTATTTTGGAGGAAACGACCAGTACATGTATTAATGTACACAGACAGGATACAGGACAGCACAGAATATCTACCACAGGCACAAGAGCTACAAGAGCTACCTTCATGCATCACATCGTGCCAAAATCTTCTACAGAAGAGTCCTTCAGAGAAGCATTTTATACTCTCTGCTTTGAAAAGAGAAAGTGGAAACCTGAAGCTCCCTATTCCCTTCCTGTCATCAGGTCGTAAAGGGAGGAAGAATACATTACTTTCTACTTATAATAACGACTATGTTAGAGGTAGGTGATTTAAGGTGCCACACTACCACATCACTGGCAAAAACATCCTAT